CTGTCATTTTCCTTCTGCTTGAAGAATTTTCTCTTTTTTTACCCTTTCTTGATGGTGAAAAACTCCTCTAGGTGTTATGAGTCTGAAAAAGCACCTGCCTTCATTCTGTGCGATATCTTCACTGGGTGTAGAATTCTAAGTTGACAGTGTTCTTTTAATACGTGAAGAGGGTCACCTGCTGGCTTCAGCTCATATGGTTTCCGAAGTCTGCTAGAATCCTCATCTTCTTGTAACCTCCCTCCTCCCCTCCTGTGTAAAACATGTCTTTTCCCCTGGCTTTTATATATATATATATATATATATATATATATATATATATATATATATATATATATATATAAAATTGATTTTTTACAGAGAGGAAGGGAGAGGAAGAGAGAGTTAGAAACATCAATGAAAGAGAAACATTGATCAGCTGCCTCCTGCACATCCCCCACCAGGGATGTGCCCACACCAAGGTACATGACCTTGACCAGAATCCAACCTGGGACCCCCTCAGTCTGCAGGCCGACGCTCTATCCACTGAGCCACACCGGTTTCGGCTCCCTGGCTACTTTTAAGGTTTTCCCTTTATCATTGATTCTGAACAACTGGGTAGAGATTTCTTCATGTTGCTTGTGCTTCAGATTCACTGATTATCTTGGATCGACGACGAGTTTATAGTTTTTGTCAAGGTCAGGAAATTTTCAGCCACTATTTCTTCAAATGTTTTTTTTTCTGTCCCCTCCCTCAGCCTTCTTCTTGAGGGGTTAGTCACTTGCATGTTCCATTGATGGATGTCCCTCCGTTCATTGATATTCTGCTTTTATGTTGTTTGTTAGTTTTTTAAATTTTTTTCTTGCTGTTACACATTTTAATGATTTCTCTCGATAAGTCTTCAAGTTCACCAGTCATACTGATGACCACTTTTTGTTGTTGTTAATCCTCATCCAAGGATATTTTTTCTTTGACTTTTTACAGAGAGTGGGAGAGACAGAGAGAGAGAGAAACTTTGATGTGAGAGAGACGCATTGATTGGCTGCCTCCCACACGTGCCCTGACCAGGGCTGAGGATCAAGCCTGCGATGGAGGCACATGGCCTTGATGGAAAATGAACCCAAGACCCTTCAGTCCTCAGAGGAAGCTTTTCTCACCCCTTATTCCCTGTGGTTTGCTGTTATGAACAACCTGGAGTTTTTTCTTCTAAAGACAAACATTTGAAAGACATATGTCGTTTTCTCCCACAAAAGAAATAATCTTTGCAAGCATGTCACATTAAAAAAGGAAGTTGCTGCCGAAATAGGTTTGGCTCAGTGGATAGAGCGTTGGCCTGCAGATTGAAAGGTCCCAGATTTGATTCCAGTCAAGGGCAGGTACCTTGGTGTGGGCACATCCCAGTGAGGGGTGTGCAGGAGGCAGCTGATTGATGTTTCTCTCTCATCAATGTTTCTAACTCTCTCTTCCTTTCTGTAAAAAAAAAAAAAAAATCAATAAAATGTATTTATAAAAAATAAAAAAGGAAGTTGCGTACTACTTCAGATAGTTTAGTTCTAAATTTTTCTAAAGTAGTACTTATTCCCCTATCTGTCTTGGCTCAGTGGATAGAGTGTCAGCCTGGGGACTGAAGGGTCCCAGGTTCGATTCCGGCCAAGGGCACATGTCTGGGTTGTGGGCTCGATCCCCAGTGCGGGAAGGGATTCAGGAGGCAGCCAATCAATGATTCCCTCTCATTGATGTTTCTCTCTCTCTCTCTTTCTCCCTTTCTCTCTGAAATCAATAAATATATTTTAAAAAATAGTACTTATTATGTGTGACTACGCATACAAAAATTCTGAAAGCATTCACAAACATCTGTCAACACTAATTGTCTGGAGGATTAAAGAAAGTATGACCTTTACAAACGCACATTTATTAACAAACGAGTTGAATTGCCTTCAAACGGTTGAATAGGCAGGCTCCCTACCCGTCCTTTGTCACTTTCTTAAGAGACTCTGAATCCCCCATCATCATCCTCCATAGGAGAGAGCGCGTGGGCAGAGGAGAATGAGAATGAGTGTTGAAAGTGTTAAGGATTTCCTGTTGGTTTAAGTTAGTTTTTCACAATAGTAACAACAATGGGGTTGAATTTGATCTCTTTACCCTCTTACCATCGCTGTTTTCTGGTTCTGTGTGAATCAACCTTCTCACTGACAAGCAAGTTCAAGGGGAGCCAACTGTAGGCAGACAAAATGCTGAAAGCAAAGTTACACCGGATTAACAGATGAGATTTCTTTTCTTGATGATTCATTGTTCTCAACCTGGTGAGAACACCTCTGCAGTCATAGAGGCTCTCATGTATCATAAACGTAAAGTGTACTGACGGGGAAAAACAAATAGCACAAAATCTCAGGAAATAAATAGGTTAAGTTTCCTGTCTTCCCACCCCTCCATTCCCCACGGTTCACTGTTATGAACCCGTTCGCGTGTTTTCTTCTCAATACAAACATTTTAGAGACGTATGTAATTTTCTTCCACAAAAGAAGTCACCTTTGCAACGTGGCTTTTGAAAATATATATTTTATTGATTTATTACAGAGAAGAAGAGAAAGTTAGAAACATCGTTGAGAAAGAAACATCAATCCGTTGCTTCCTGCACACCCCTTCCTGGGGATGTGCCCACAACCAAGGTACATGGCCCTGATCAGAATCGAACCCGGGACCCTTGAGTCCAAAGGCCGACGCTCTATCCACTGAGCCAAACCAGTCAGGGGTGCAACTTGCTTTTCATGCCTAAATCATGACGTACAAGTTCAGAGATGTTCTATCACTTCCTTCGTCAGCCTCCTCCACAGGGACATCTGTCTGTATCTGTTGGGTAGATTCATAAAAAACGGAATTTCTGGGTCAAAGGGTCAATTTACAATTCTTTTTAAAAAAATATATATATTATTGCTTTTTTACAGAGAGGAAGGGAGAGGGAATGAGAAAAAAAAAGAAAATAAAAAACCCGACCTGTTGAATATATATCGATAGATTTTGTAATGACCCACTTCGTATTTGAGCTGTGTGACCTTAGGTGGGTAATATAACCTCTTCAAGTCTTGAAAATGTTTCTTTCATTTATTTCTTCCCACATTGGGAAGGCACATCCGGTGTCTTTTCCCCCCATCTTATCTGAAACTTGAAGTTTCTGCAGTTCAGCTTGATGATTAAGACAAACAGATCTTGTAATTGTTGGTCAAGTTTTTCATAGTCTGATTTTACTGATAAACTTGTTCAGAGAGTATGATTTCAACCCAAAATATAAACTTTACATTTAAATCCCAAGCACATTAGCTAGTCGCTGTTTCCAGGGATATTTATTTCTTCAACAAAGATTTGAGTATCCAGTACGAAATAGGCATAGTTTTCACTGCTGGCAATTCTAGCTGTGAACGGAACAAAATCCAGCCCTTGTCCAGTTCCCATATGATTTATTATGCTTTATTAAGCGCATATGCTTTATTAACTGTTCATGCGATGTATTTGCTAATTTGCCAAAGATTTTTTTTTGTAGAAAGCTTGAAACAATAAAACGAAGGGCTGTAAAAATTCCAAGGAACAACCGTGATAAATCCAGGCACACTTTCAGCCTGAAACACGTCGACAAATTGGTAACCCCGAACCCCAGTTGGGTAGCACCCGTGAGCAACTTTCATTTGATCTGGATGCACGCCTCTGAGTGCCTAACACAGTGTTTAGGTTACAACAGGCTCATCATAAATGTGGTGAAAAATTTCAAACTGCTTGTCCCAAGTGAGCTGTTCTTGGTTCCTGCAGGGAAGAGCTAGCCAACACTATGGGGATGAAAAGACTTACATGGACAGACACATCAGGGCGAGGTAGGCATGTGACAGGAGGCTGGCTGCTGGTCCTCCATGGTCGGTTCTTTGACATGGATGAGGGGCAGGTGAGGGCTGACCCTTCCTGCTATGGGTTGGGTTCCTGACATTTTAATATGGTGGGTCCAAGTCCCTTGCCTCGATTTCCCCAGGTGAGGACTGGAGGAGGGGGGAGAGGAGAGAATTCTGCAGCTCTGAAACGTTACTTTTTAGGGATGTGTGTGTGTGAGACGTGTGTGATAGCTCGCTAGTGAATGTGTTCAACTATACGGGAAAACATGAATATGCACACGATGTATGGAAAACGTTTGGGGGCAGCTGGTCAGGGATTCAGGCTGTGGGGGATCCTCCTGGGCCATGTACACCCACTCATCAGGGTGCTCACCCAGGCGCCGCAGGAGCCAAACGGACAGATGGGCGCGGTGGCAGCGGGGTCCCCAAGCCGCGAGACGTCCCTTCACCTCGCACACCCGCCCAGCTCCTGCTGCGATGAGGGTAGTGGGCACCGATGGGCCAGCGGGTTGTAGGCGTGGATGGGCAGGGCGGAGGCGGGGAGTGGGCGTGGCGAGAACGCGGATAGGCGGAGGCAAACAGGGGGCGGGCGGGGCCAAGGCGCGGATGGGCCGGGAGTGGGCGGGGCGTAGGTGCGGGTGGGCGTGGCGAGAGCGCGGATAGGCGGAGGCAAACAGGGGGCGGGCGGGGCCAGGGCGCGGATGGGCCAGGAGTGGGCGGGGCGTAGGTGCGGGTGGGCGGGGCGAGAGCGCGGAAAGGGGATAAACAGGGCGTGGGCGGGGCCATGGCGCAAATTGGGCGGGGCGTCGGCGCCGGTGGGCCAGGAGTGGGCGGGCTTAGGCGCGGGGTGGGCGGGGCGTAGGCGGGGCGAGAGCGCGGACAGGCGGAGGTAAACCGGAGTGGGCGGGGCGTAGGCGCGGGTGGGTGGGGGAATGGGCGGAGCTTTCTGCCACGTGACGCGGCGCGGGTATTAAGCGGTGCCGAGCCGCTGGCCACCGAGCAGGTGCTTCGCCCCGACCCAGCGCCCGCCCGCCCGCCCGCCCGCCGCCTCCAGGAGCAGCCGCGCCGCCGCCCGCGCCCGCCGCCTCCGCCGCCGCCGCCGCCTGTCAGTCCGTCCAAGTCCGCCCGCAGCCCCCGACCCCCGGCGCCATGAACCAGATCGAGCCCGGCGTGCAGTACAACTACGTGTACGATGAGGACGAGTACATGATCCAGGAGGAGGAGTGGGACCGCGACCTGCTGCTGGACCCCGCGTGGGAGAAGCAGCAGAGGAAGGTCAGCCCCCCGCGTGCCCGTGTCCCCCCACGTGTGCCGTGATCGCCCCCTCGGGGCGCCGAGCTGCCCCGGGGGGAGAGGGGTCACGTCCGGGGACAGGCATGCAGCCAGGTGTCCTGTGCGAGCGACCCGAGAGGACAAAGCGTCACGGGCTGCAGGGTTTCCGTCCGATTTCCGTTAGATCAGACCTCGAGCCCGTGACCTTGGCCGCAGAGCGATGCCCCCTTGGTCCCCCCGCCCCAAACAGCCCCTGAAAGCCCTTCCCCAGCGCCCCGGGCCCCGCAGAGGGGGTGCTGGCTGAACCCTGGGCGTTCACGATAAAGCCATGGTTATTCACACTCTATTTATGGGTCCCTGAGGTCAGTGCCCGGGCGAGGGGCAGAGCCAGCCCGCACCGCCCCATGCCATCCATCCCGGCTGGCACTGCCCGGGGCCCAGTGGAACATTCCACTCTTTGGGGTTTCTTCCTGATCCCTTGGCTGGGACAAGCAGGGATGCTCACCAGGAAGATAATCCCCCCCCCCCCCCCGCCTCCCCTCCTGCTTGGCTGGCACCGAGCGGGCCCGGCCAGGCTGCCAGCACAGACCTGCTAACCCCAGCCAGCCTACGGTGACCTGCCCTGGCCAAGCCAAGGGCCCTGTGCTCCCCCTCTGCCAGGGGTGGGGGGTGGTGCCACACAGATTTCCCTTCTTAGGCCCTGTTGCTAAGTGGATGACCTTTGCTGACCACATGTGTGCATGGGCGTGCGTGTGCATGGGACCCGCCCCGGCTGCCACCGTGCGTGATCACACCGCAGTCCACGCTAATTAGCATGTGGTGGGAAGACACATCCGTACTTCCCTCCCGTCGAAACGGTAACTGGAAGGAGAGAGAGGTCTCCTATTTGGATCATTGTTAAATAGCCAGGCAGGGTTTCTGTTTTGTTGTCCACCGGATCTCTTAAAATACCATTTATTGTTATTATTATTACTATTATTATTATTATTTTGAGGCTCTAATTTAGCCACATTTCATTCCCCACCTCAGTTCCTAAGACTTCCAAACATCCCTATCTTCTTGGAAATAAGATAATGGAAGTCACACGTAGAGGTTGAATCTGCAAAGGAAAAGAAAAACCTCAAAACTTCCCCGGTCTTGAATGACTTACTGTGAGGGCGGTGTGTGGGCAGACGGTTATTAATGTGTCATTTGGACGAGCTGATGTGTCACCGATCAGCAAGATGGGAAAAAGCGACTTTGGTTCCTGGCAGCGAGAGTTTCTTTAAAAAATTTTTTCCTTACAGTTTTGATGGTTACGTTTTTTTATGGGTTAACAAAAACAAAACTTCTGTCTTTGTTTCAAAGAACGTTTTGACCAGTATAATAGCTATGGAATGGGACAGAGATTCTGGGTCCTGTGGTCCCTGCCCATCACTTTTGGGAATAGACCAGTGGTCGGCAAACTCATGAGTCCACAGAGCCAAATGTCAACAGCACAACGACTGACATTTCTTTGGAAAGCCAGATTTTTTAAACTTAAACGTCTTCTAATGCCACTTCTTCAAAACAGACTCGCCCAGGCCGTGGTGTTTTGTGGAAGAGCCACACTCAAGGGGCCAAAGAGCCCCATGTGGCTCAGGAGCTGCAGTTTGCCGACCACTGGCGGCAATAGACTGATCATAGTGGCTTCTGTTGGTTATACGTATGGTACAGTCACAGAATAGAGCTAACCTCCCTTCCCAAAGACCACATCAACATCCTCCTTCTGCCGTATTTAATTTTTAAAAATATACTCACAATATTTTTGGACAGAAGGGCTTTGCCATTTTTTCTTTAGGCCTTGGTTTCCTGTGTTACTATAATTGCCCAGCACTTGGAATATATTATTAAGAAGCAATGATACTTCCTGATCCCGATTCCAGGTCATGCTAACACGTCCAAAAGTGAGGATCTATTTTGTGTGGTAAGACAGGCTGCATCGCCAAAAATGGTGTGGCTCAGTGGATAGAGCGTCGGCCTGTGGACTGAAGGGTCCCAGGTTCGATTCCGGTCAGGGGCATGTGCCTTGGTTGCGGGCACATCCCCAGTGAGGGGTGTGCAGGAGGCAGCTGATGGATGTTTCTTTCTCATCGGTGTTTCTAGTTCTCTATCCTTCTCCCTTCCTCTCTGTAAAAAAAATCAATAATAAAAAAAAAAAGACAGGCTGCGTGCTATGGACACCGGGGGAACACAGCCAGGCACCGCCTCAGGACACAGGCCCGGCAGGTTCTCTGCTTCCACTTTTGGTAGGAACGGCTTGGCCTGGAGATAATACGGGCCCGGAGGGCTGCGCAGCCCAGCCCCGGCCTCTATTTCTGTCCCATGAGGCACCCTCCGGAGTGGGCCAAGGCGAGATGCCTGTGCGGCTATTGTGGGCCGCCTCCCCGCACTGGCCGTGCCAGTGATACGCGGGTAAGAGAGCTGTCAGCAGATGCTGGAGCTCAGGATGACGTCCTCGGGGTGAGGACGGACGTGGCGCCTAATTATAGCCGAGTGCGGCCGAGTGCGGCCAGAATCCCCGGCTGGGGCCGCCCTGGCTGCGCGAGGACTTAGTGAAAGGTAGCGCTCTTTTATTTTTTTTTTTAATGATAAATTTAAAAAAATAAATATTTGTATTGATTACAGAGAGGAAGGGAGAGGGAGAGAGAGAGAGAAACATCAATGATGAGAGAGAATCATGGATCGGTGCCTCCTGCACACCCCCCACTGGGGATGTGCCCACAACCAAGGTACATGCCCTTGGCCGGAATCGAACCTGGGACCCTTCAGTCTGCAGGCCAACGCTCTATCCACTGAGCCACACCGGTTTCGGCGGACGATAGATTTTTTTTTTTTTAATTTGTGGTAAATTCATACAACAAAATGTACCATCTTAACCATTGCCAAGGGCACGGTTCACTCGTATTAAGCACATTCATTTTGTGGGGTAACCGCTTCCCAAACTCAGTTTATCTTGCTAAACTTAACTCTGTACCCCCGAGCCCGTAGCTGGCCATTCTCCCGGGACCCAGCTCTGGCAGCGACCACTGTGCTTCCCGGGCCTGTAAGTGAGCCTCTCCAAGTGTGCTCTGTACATGGGGCCTTGCAGTCTTTAACCTGCTGAGACTGGCTTACGTGACTGAGCAGAATGTTTTCAAAGATCTGCCAAAACCGGTGTTGCTCAGTGGATAGAGCGTCGGCCTGTGGACTGAAAGGGCCCCAGGTTCAATTCCGGTCGAAGGCATGTACCTTGGTTGCAGGCACATCCCCAGTGGGGGGTGTGCAGGAGGCAGCTGGTGGATGTTTCTCTCTCATCGATGTTTCTGACTCTCTATCCCTCTCCTTTCCTCTCTGTAAAAAATCAATTAAAAAAAAGAAAGAATGTTTTCAAAGAATGTAATGGCGTGTGTTGGACTGTCCCTCCTGTGGAAGGCTGAGTAATATTCCACGGTGTGGCGAGACCACATTCTGTTCATCCTTCTGTTCGTTGAGGGGCGCCTGGCTTGCTCCCGATCTTTGTCCCTCGTGAATACATAGCGAGGTGGTGAACATGGGTGTGCAAACATCTCTTTACCACTCCGCTTTCCATCTTGTTGGTTTCGCACCCAGAAGAAGTGCGATGTCTGGGTCCTGTGGACGACGTGGCATCCGTCCCGGGGAGACCCAGGCGTTTCCCAGTGCCCCCTCCCCTTCTCTCTCAGCGTTGTTTAGCAACCGGGGGGCGGAATGTCTGTATTCCCACCAGGGAAGCTCTTTGCATGGGGCCTTAGAAGCTTCCAGAGCTTCGGAGTTGGGAAGCCAGCTTGCCCTGGAACCTGAGGACCCCGTTCAGCCCCTCGTCGCTCTTTGGCCTGATCCCGAGGTGACTGGTCGGGACAGCAATGCCGAGTATGCGTGCTATCTCCCCACGCAGGGCGCTGGCCCCGTCCGGAGGCTGGCGCGGGCCTTGTAAGGAAGTGGCTCGGGTTTCCATCATAAAGGGGCTTGCATTCTTTTTTTTAAAAAAATAAATATATTTTATTGATTTTTTTACAGAGAGGAAGAGAGAGGGATAGATTGTTAGAAACATGGATGAGAGAGAAACATCCATCAGCTGCCTCCTGCACACGCCCCACTGGGGATGTGCCCGCAACCAAGGTATGTGTCCTTGACCGGAATCGAACCTGGAACCCTTGAGTCCACAGGCTGAGGTTCTATCCACTGAGCCACACCAGCTAGGGCAAGGGCTTGCATTCTTAATATGTGGTCAGCTAGAGGATGGGTCAGTGCCTCTGCCCGTTGTAGGAAGCATGAGGGTCCTTCCTGTGTTCCACATTGAGAATTCTGATCGGCTTTCATCATTCCTAAAGAAACTGAGGTTCTGCATACCCACAGTTTAAAAATATATTTGTATTGATTTCAGAGGGGAAGGGAGAAGGGGGAGAGAGAGAGAGAGAGAGAAACATCGATGATGAGAGAGAAAATCACCAATGGGCTGCCTCCTCCACGCCCCACCCTGGGGATCGAGCCCACACCCCAGGCATGTGCCCTTGATTGGAATTGAACCTGGGACCCTTCAGTCCGTAGGCTGATGCTCTAGCCCCTGAGCAGAGCCAGCTAGGGCGATCATGTGTTTATGTAACCAGTTAGCGTGCTCCAAGCACCCTCACCTCACATCCATGATTTCCCGGGACCCCCTCCCCCTCCCAAAGGGATGAGGGAAGCAGCTGTGTCTGGATGTGTCTGCTAATTCAAGATATGATGGAGGGTTGCGGTGGAGGGGTGCGAAGAGAAACAGACTCCCCTGAAGCTAAAGATGCAGCTTTGGCCCACTGACGTGTCTCCATGGTTGAACATTGACCTATGAACCAGGAGGTCACGGTTCGATTCCTGGTCAGGGCACAGGCCCAGGTTCCAGGCTTGATCTCCAGGAGAGGGCGTGCCGGAGGCAGCCGATCCAGGATTCTCTCTCCTCATTGATGTTTATCTCTCTCTCTTTCTCTCTCTCTTCCTCTCCAAAATCA